ACACAATTGATGTATGTATGGATTGTGATAAGAGTTATATGAGCCCCTAATAAAATGATTAAAAAACCAATTTAGTTTATTTCTAATTTATTACTTTTAGAGATAATGTTACAGTGAATGCCTTTGTGGCTAAGTATTTGTATGCATTCTTAATTATTTTCTAAGTTGAATCCCTGCAAGTGGAATTGCTGGGTCAAAATAAGAAATATACATTCTTGTTAACTTTCTATAATTAAAACTATATATCTCAATACACATGTGTATGCATGTATATTTATACACACACAGAATTATATACTGAATATTATATTGAACCCCTATTTAACAATGATCAAATTCTGGCCAATTTTCTTCCACCTCCCACTCCCATGGCAGCATTATCCCATGTGGGGTTGGGCTGTTACCACTTTTCCTGACTCACAGTGACCCTATAGGAGAGGGTAGATTTCTGTAACAACCTTTCTTCTTTCCCTCCCTCTGTATAGGTGTATATATGTCTTTAAGCATTCCAGATTGCTCTCTGGGAAGGCAGCTCAAACGCGTACTCTCATTCCTTACTTGTCAACCTGGTTACATTCTGTGTTAATCTGGGTGGACTAGAGAAACAAATTCATAGACACTCATCTGTGTATAAGAAAGAGCTTTAAGTATAAGAGCAATTGGATTTTGAGAAAACATCCCATCCCAGACCAGATCAAGTCCGTAAATCTTATATTAGCCCATAGTCCGATACTAATCTGTAAAGTCCTCTTCAGACTCACAAAACACATACAATGGTGCCAAATGCAGGAAGATCACAGGCCAGTGGGTGGAAAGTCTTGCGGATCCAGTGGTGGTGGAAGCATCTCAGCGCTGGCCGTGGGTTTCCATGTGGCTTCTCCAGCATCAGCGTGGCTTCATCAGGCTCATGTTGTAGTAATGTCTCACAGGGAGTGTGTGTGTGTGTGTGTGTGTGTGTGTCCCACCTCCAGTGATCTATCTCCATAGCACCTCCAGATGAGGCCATCAAGCTGCGACCTGATTGACAGGCTAACCTCCACCCCTTCACTCTAAGTCTCAAATTGACAGCAGATTACGTAACTACCACAGGTTCCAAAGACCAGGTCATGATTCACAAGTTGCCATTGTGCAAAAACAGAGGATGGCTACAGCATCACATAACTGCTGGACCAAATTGCATCATTAAATTCACTGCCATCTAATGCATGCTGACTCCCAGCGACCCTATAGAACAGGGGACATCTGCCCCCCTGAGTTTCCAAGACTGTAGCTCTTGTCAGGAGTAGACCCAGCTCATCTTTCTCGCTGAGTGCCTTCTGGTTTCAAATTGCTGACCTGGTGTTAGCAGCCCAACATGTAACCTGATCTACCACCAGAGCTCCAATTACCCAGCTGCCAAACCACTGAGAATCATAGCCCAGCCAAGCAGACACGTACCTTATCCACTACAGCCAGCGTTATTCTTATCTCACGTCACGGCCAGATATACGTCATCGATGGGTAAAACAGCCCAACAGACACTTTACTTTTGTCATAAATGTGAAATGTCAGATCATAAGATAGCTGCTAAGGAGTAGGTAGATTTAGGCCAACATCCTATTGGCAGTGGCTGACGGTTTGTGTCCCTTCCCTTCCATTGGGGAGCCCTGGTGGCGTAGTGGTTATGTGACACAAGGTCAGCAGTTTGAAACCACCAGCTGCTCTGTGGGAGAAAGAGGAGGCTCTCTACTCCCACAAAGAGTTTCAGTCTCGGAAACCCACAGGGGCAGTTCTACCCTGTCTTACAGGGACGCTGAGTCCACGTCGACTCCAGGGCTGTGAGTTTGGCTTGGCTTGGCTTTCCCTTCCCTCCCCTCCCCTTTGTTAATTTTCCAGACCAAACAAGAAGGCACAGAAAAGAAAACGGCATCGCGTGGTTATTTTCATTTGGACGGACATGATTAGTCATGAGGCTGAAGCCCCTCCCCGTTCACTTACTGGACATTTGGCACTTTGTCTTTGTGGACCGCCTTTTGCTTTTTTTTCCTACTGGGGTGTTTGTCTTTGTAAAGCTGTGTGCATATTCATGAAGCCCGGTGGCTTTGTACTTCCACCAGTGGATTGCTAGAACTCTGTACTTGGACTAAGCTCACAGAGTGCTTTAGAAAGCGAACACCTGGGAGCAGAAAGTCACGGCGAACAATTTGGGGACAGGTGTGCTGTGGTGAGGAGGGTCGGAGTCTGGGTTGGGGCCCTCCCATTCCACAGCGAGCTGCCTGGCCACAGCTCAACAGCTCTGCCCAACCCTGGGCCAGGCATTTTCTTTTCAAATCCATATCACACTGCTTCTGATGTTTATATGTAGAAGGCAAAGTAGAGCATTAAATCTGTAATATGTTATTAATAACGAAGCACTTTCCCACCTTCCAGCATGAAGGCCCAGGACCGGGTCATTATGACTTGACATCGCCCCCGGCCACTTCTGTTACGTCTTGCTTTAGATCCAGAGTCCCTCGGTTCTTGCCCTTCTGCTCAGTAAGTATTCTGAAGTCTGACCCCCCACAGGCGTGGTTACCATTACTGCTGTCGGTTCTGCGGTGTGTGTGTGGTGGGGGTGGGGGAGGCATTGAAATTGGGGAGAGGGGTGGGAAGGGCATTCTGCCACACGATGGCTTGTCAGGGTAGTCATAACTCCTGTGGAGCTGAAACATCTGGCAAACCCTCAGTCGCATCCGGCTCCCAGTGACTCCAGGCCACGCCGAATTAGGAGTCTAGCTGGGGACAAGCCTGCCCAGTCATTGGCCATCAACGTCACCATCTGGGCACTTTGTGAGAACACAGCTTTCAGGGCCCGAAGCAAGCAGCTGGCCGCCTTTGCATGCGGCTTCTGGGAGACCAGGGAAGCAAAAAGTCGGAGCAGAAGCATTTACTATCCAGACAGCTCATTCAAACTGACGGCCGTCCAGTCCAGGCTGACTCATAGCGACCCTGTACCAATTGACAGGGCCAATCACTGTGAGGGATCATCCCTATCCCCCTTTGTTGGGGCAGGCAGGGAAGAGGCTGGGTTGTGGGAATTGGCAGAGGCTTGCAGAGACTGGGAGAACATCAAGAAAGATGGCACAAGGTCACACAGAGCTCTTGAACAGTGTTTTGTTTTGTTTTTAAGCCAAAAAGCAGTTTTCACCCCTGAAAACTTGGTCCTTCAGACTTGCTGGTCTGTGGAATGTGGTCTCACTTGATGTGGTTGTGGACGAGGTGGGGCAGCCACTGGCTGGGCCTGCAGATGACCTCCTGCAGCCCCTCTGTGGCATGGCCACTCCTGCAGAGTCCGTGGTACGGGGCGCAGTGCAGGCCTTAGGTGGAGGACTACTGGGGAGGCCCTGCCAGGAAAACGAAAGGCCAATTGACAGTGACAGGCTGGTGGATCTGATGGCCACACCTGGTGACATCACCGTGAGCTTGCTTTGTGCCAGAGCCCATAGGGACAACCACTCCCAGGAGGACTGACTCATGCTAGCCCAACTCCCAGGACACCGAGAGAAGCCAGGCTCCGTTTTCATTTGTAGACATGCTCCAGGGGTGGGGGCGGGTGCCTGGATCTGTTGCTCTGTGAAATCTTCGCCCTGCCAGGAACATCTTCAGGGAAAGTCAATGGCGACCAGAAGGTTGCTTGGTGATCATGAACGTGGGGCTGACGTGCTGAGCGGAATGCCGGCAACCAGCAGCCTCCCAGGGGGAGTCCCTTGGGCCCCAGGCCCACCTCACCTCCTCTTGTGTGGGCTTGCCTTTCGGGACCCACAGGCACCCTGGCTTCCCAGTCACAGCACCAACAAAGGCAGCTGCCTCCTTGCCGGTCGGCCAGGCCGTGATGATTAGATTTCCACGCTGCCCTTCCATGTTTATCAAGGGGAACATCCTGTCGCGGAAGGAGGCTTCTGCAGGCAGCTGACCTCACCCTCTCTCCGACGACGTCCGCCTTCTCTCCGGGCGATTCTATGTCCACTCTGCATGCGAGGAAGGAAGGGAAGAGCATGTAGGGGGTCGTGGGACAGAGCTCGCCGACCTGCTGTTAGTCCTGGTGCACGGACCCCAGCGAGCCCCAGACTCACCTCCCAGGCTGTTCCTCCTAAGCCTATTGAGAAGCATGCAGCCCAGGGGCCTTTAGTGGTGGGACTGGGACTGGGACTCAGGCTAGCTGGACTCCAGAGCCTTTGTCCTTGGTCACCGGTCCTCTGGTGTTGGAGCAAGAAGATAAAAATCGCTCCGGGTTTCAAGAACCCCGGGAAACGTGGGGCCCAGACCCTGACCCCTGACCCCTCTGTGCCACTAATCCACTTGCGCCTTTACCATTTAAATAAGGGCACAATAGCTTTCTCCAGACAAGACTTTTGAAAGTTACAGTGGGCGGATCCCTTCAGAGGACTTTTGACGCCGAGAACCACCTTGCTCCATCATACTGGCCAGCGATGGGAACCCAGGGGTGCTTGAGCGGCCGGTTGCACTTCAGGGGAGACACCGGGTTCAGAATGTGCTCTCCCCATGCACTGACCGCTGGACCGGGGTGACGACGGGGACAAGACGGTGCTCTCGGGGGCAGGGGCTGCCTGGATGAGAGCCCCTTGCACTGAAGCACAGGTGGAGGTGGTACCCGTGGCCCCTGTCCTCCTCTCAGCACCCCTGGCCTTGCTGAGCGCCCCGGTGGGAGTGGGCCTCACCTCCAGGCCTCGGATGGGCCGGGGTGGCCCGTGTGGCCCTCCCCAGGGGATTTGTCAGGCACAGGGGCTTGGGGGTGGGGGGGTGGTCACAGTCGCATCAGCCCCTGCTTTCTGTTCTGTTTCCAGAAAACCCCAGGCCCAGGAGCGTATGACTCTTCCGTACAGTTCCCGAAGCAGTCGCCAACCGTAGCCAAAATGGGCCGGGAACACAGCCTTTTCTTCAGCAACACCATTGGTTTCTAGAATAAAGCAGCCTTGGTTCCAAACTCCTTGGAGGGTCAGCAGGTTCTTAGGTTTTGTTTCGTCTTTGGCGAGGGGTGGGGGCCGAGGGGGTGGCATAATCCACCCAGGGGGGCCCTCACTGCCTACTTGTCTGAGTCCGCCCTCCTGCACAACCCATTCACAGCCGTGGCCTGGCTGGAGCAATGAAGGACGAGCCCCCGCCCCCGCTGCTTGTGACCCAGCGCGTGCGCTGGGAGACTGGACTGCCCATGCTGCGTGGCCGTGGGCTCCCTGCCCAGCAAAGCTCGTCCCCTGCTGGGTCTTGCCTGTCAGGGCTGTGATAGCTCACAGGCCGCATGAGGAGCTCCTTGGGTGGCCAGCCTTCAATTAAGGTCACAGGCAGTGAGACAGGGTCCAAACAAGTTTGCCCTTCTCACCCACGTCCTGGGAAAGAGCAAAAGGACAGGATTGGCGCATCCTGGTGTCATCCCAGTGCCAACGCGCCCAGCCTCTGCTGTTTGCTAGCTAGGTGCTGAGAGGGGCCATGAAGGACAGCTGACCGAAGCCCAGAGACCCAGGTGGCCAAGGGCTACAAGGAGGGATGCATCCAGTTTGGGGCCTGGCTCCAGGGAAGCCTTTGGAAGCCATGCCAAGAAGCTTCCATGGATGTCCTTGTGTGTGAAGCCCAGGGCCTGCCCCACGGAAATGACAGTCCTCACAGGAGACGGGCTCTCCACCAAAGGACACAGGTGCCGCAGTTGGCAAGGCTGGCCACACCCTGGAGACCCTGTCAGGGTAAAGGCCCAAGGCCCTTGGAGACCAGGCCCCGGTCCCAGAGCGGCGCTCCTTGCTCCACTTGGATCAGGTGGCTGCAGGTACAGAGAGCTTCAACTGTGTGTTTCCTGTGGGATCTGCAAGCGTGGCTGGCAGCTCTGTGGCAAGCAGTGTGCCAGGTGACACCGACCCCGCGGAACAAGAGCGAAGGGGTGGGCGGGTGGCGTCTCTCTTAGTCCACCTTCAACCACCTGAGGGCAAGGGGGTTTGTTGTAAGTGTTTAGGGCTACTCCAGCCAAGTCCCTGTAACTCTCCCCAAATGATTGGACAGGACGATGCAAACAGGTCGTGCCTAACACTGGTAGAAGGGATTGGTCAGTTTTTGTTACCAGCCACGCCCCTCTGGTCACCCCCAGCTAGACACCGGATGAACCGTCCTTGAAGCAGCGGAGAACATGGAGACCCCGAAGACTTTGAAAGAGCGTGTTCAAGAGCTTGGTCAGAAGTGGCAGAACCACCAGGACCAGCTGTCCCTGATTCTGCGGCATGGAGACTCGGGAGCAGCACTGAGACGCCGGGGGACCTTGTCCTCATCAGAGGGCGGGCAGTCGCCTGTCTGGCCCATGGAGGCCAAGGCCAAGGGACCACAGGGCAGAGAGACTGAGGACAGGAGAGAGTCTCAGAGAACCATGGCTGTGTCTTTATGGTTCACTGAGCCTGACTCGTGGCAGGGGAGCAACTTCCCTCATGATGTTGTTAGGTGCCACCCAGTGGGGTCCGACCCACGGTGCCCAGCCTGCCTGTCCTCACAGCGGTTCCCCGGCTGGTGGCAACCCTTCACCCTGAGGCCCTTTCTCTCTTTTGCTGACACCCCCACCCCCACCCAACCTGACCAAGCATGGTGTCCTTCTCCAGGGACTCATCGTCCGGGCCTCTAAGGAGCATTCTAGCCTAATAACCCCCCTCCTGAATTGGGACTATTGCCTGGGGCCTCTGTGTGGCCATTGCAACCCATTGTCGAACTCAGCACAGATGTAGAATGGTTGTGTGGGAACAGGGGAGGGCGGATGGAGTGTGGAGACGGGTCTGGCTCTTGCCTGGTGCCAAAGGTAAACTAGAGAGATCACATATGTCCTCGTCTGTTGCTGTTCACGGCACACATACCCTCTGTCAAGTTCACGTATGATCCTGCCCCCCACCCCCCACCCCCGTTCCACCTGTGTGCCTCTCAAGCATCCGCTTGTAAAGGGGAGCGCGTCCTGGTGCATGCAGTGTCTGCATGCAGGGACTTGGGAGCCTACAGAAACTTCACCAGGAGGTCGGACCATGGGAGAACAGTCCACGGGGCTGTCTGGTCTACCCTTGTGGCTTATGTCCACCCGGGACGTTCCCTAAACTCCCGCCGCGGTCCCTGGACCTGCATCGGTCTTGAACTGGGCTTCCTTTCTGGAGCTGAGGGGCCTGTCCCTCAGGCATCTCTATCTTCTCAGGCTCTCCCCCCCACCCCCC